ACTTTGAGACTAATAATGGTTGGAGACGGCTTGAATGGGTAATGAAGAAAAACTTTAACATAAGTTTTTCTTCATTACCCATTCAAGCCGTCTCCAACCATTATCATACGATCTGCCTAGCTTCAAGAAGGAGAGGCAAATTTTCCACAGTGCACAGGGCTTCACAATTATTGAATCCAGCACTGGACGCTTTATCCTATATCTAATTCGGTCTATCTAGCTGTCAAATGGATACCAGCTAAAAACTAGAAGTTAAGCTGTGATAAAATGGAATCTCGTCCAGAAGATTGTGTCATCATTTTCATCTTCTTGTGCCACTAGAACCGGAGTTAAGCATCAGACGGATCAACTTAACTTTACTGTAATGGTTATCTAAAAGAAATCGGTCAGAAGTATTTTTATGCTTATCTGTTTATGTGGATGAGAACTGTATAGTAATGTTTATCCTTGGAACTTTAGTATCGTGAGTAAAAAACTAAAGGTGTAATAGAAAATCACACCTCTATTGTGAAATACACCAATCTACCATATACCTATCACAATAACGTTGTTATTTCGTTGGGCTCGTTCTTTTAAATTATTTCGTGAAAATAAGGCCAAGTTCAGTCTGCGTAATGATAACAAATAGGTTTATTTCTTCCTTAACGTTCAACAAGCTTGTACACTAGTGTACTTGTAGGCCTACGTTTATAAATGACGTTCAAACGGAAATACCTCGGTAACAGTAGTACAACTAACGTAAAAATAATTACTTGTACAATTTCACCGATAATCGATCGAGTAGATGAATAAACGAGATAACTAATAATGATATAAACATTTCACTGAAATTAAACACTCCACTGCTAGCTTAAATCAAACCACTAGCAACTGAAAACAACTACTCAATATTCGTGAGCAGTCTACTCGTGTATATCTATAACCTTATTTCTAGATACTTTGCAAAGTTACTAAACTTTATGACGTCATCTAGAACGTTCTAGGCCTACTCCCACAAACATACTTGATCATAACGTCATGCATCCTTTAGTTAACATCCGAATTAAAACATTGCAAATATAGCCCACAACAGTATCATTCTAAAAACTCTTGCAGGTACTGGTTAAAGACGTTTTTATATAGTTTTGAGTATATAATATGTTTCAAGTTAAGGTTGAATAAGACATTATATAGTAATCGGGCCTCTCGGGCAGTGATTTGTGGGAGCTGTGGATCTGAAATGCTATTTTTACACGCCTCTGATTTTGAATCCGAAATGTATAAATTAAGCGAAGTATAAAGAAAATTATATTGGACACAAGGAAGTTAAACTATTTTATAAACATTCGTAATAGTAAAGATGTGGTCAATAATAGAAGCATGTTCTAGCAGAGCAAGTTTAAAAATACACGTAATTGACACGTATATGGTGGTCACAGTGAAAAATTCGGTCCCGATTTAAATATCTGGTGTCTGTAAATTTGGTGCAGCCTGTTCAACGTTTATATTACGTAATAATAACACGTGTCCCATTTGAGGAAATGTTTTTATCTTTTCAAATATTATTTGTATTTCCTGTCATTGTTTTATCCCTTTCTTCTTTTTTTTTTCTTTTTGAAGACAACGTTACTTGCCCTAAATTAAACTTAAGAAAACGCAAACCTTGAATTTTCGAACTTGAAAATACTTTGGGTTACGAAACTGGGAAAGTTAGACTTTATTGATTCTTCTCAAACGTTTCGGTTCTGAACGAAAAGGAAAACAACAACAAAAAGACTGTGATGAAAGTATCGCGTCTCAGCTATGACGTTTTTAGCATCGCAAGTAAGTGAAAAAATACCAATGTTACACAATAAGGGAGTTTTGGGTATTGACGTAAGTAGTTATTATTATTATAGCGTGCAGGGAGCAGTCTTACTTCGGATTGGGTGAATAACTATGTATCCCTCCGCGTTTCTGACCTATATACCCACGTGCAGGTGCTATAGAGCAGTAGGACGTCGATCGATTGTAGCTTGTCAAGACCAGGTAAGCATATTTTCTCTTACCATTCTGTGCTTCTCTACGTCCATAAAGACAAATGTGTTGGGGCTGCAGTTTTAAAACTATTGTCTTTTTTTGAATACCACAAAAATGTTTCTCGTTATTCTCTATGAAATGTTGTATTCGGCATTGACAAGTGAGAATAACTCCTTCATCGTAAAATAGGTTTTTAAAAGAAAACAAAAATGCTCAGACAAGTCTAGTTACGAACAATTAAAACGTTATGGGTGAGATATCCCTCTCGGTGGTTCAGTGGTATATCTAATAAGTAGGTTTCGATACTCACGGTTAGTAGAACACAAATAACAATGTGTGATATATAATTTACAGGCACCGTGTAGATGCGTGATTACCTTAACTACCAGCCAGAAACTGTGTTGTTGTAGGAGATGACGTTAACTTTTGATTATCTAATTCATGTTAGGTTTATAAGAAGCGCTATTATTGTTTTCTGCTTATTTATAGCAAAGCAGCCATTTTTCAGCAAACTATCACTTTCGTTAGTTACTAAATAAAAATCACATGATGAAGGGCTCGAAATGTTCTTTAGTAACCACCTTATAGATTGACGTATTTCTAGTGTTAACATTTTTTAAACCTTACACTATGAAACTGATCGTATTTCTCAATGGAAGGAATCCTATCGGAACAATAAATCGTTATATATATATGTAACAGAAAGAGAAAACATTTCAAAGTAATTGTGAAATTACTGGTTTATTATGGATGTAATTCATGAGTACTAAATAAAGGTGAGTCATTAGAAAGTCAGTAAGGTGCCCTATATTAGAAGTAAGGTAGAAATCGGGTCAACTTACCACAACTTGGCATCCCCCCCTTTTTTTGTTTTACTGTGCTCGTTTCATCTCACTGGAAGAACGATATTTTTTAACAAGCATGTCATTTCTTGTTTTCAGGGTCCGTTATGTATATATATGTATATCAAGGTCCAAAATTCGCAAACGTTCTAATTGGTCCTTATCAGATTTAACTGCTCCACTTTAAGAACATGTGTAGACACAAACATGTCAATTCCATTTTATCAGTTGTAGATGTCAATTTCTTAAAGAAAGAAAAACACGTATGTGTCACATTAAACAAAACTCTTTAGTTCAAGTAGTTTATGATTATGTCAACTTTGGAATATACATAATTTTTACATTAATTCAGATAAACTAAAAAAAAAAATGAGACTTGAGATTACTATTTTAATACTAACCCAAAAGTTAAAATGTTAATATTCGTCACACTTCGTTTAGATCGATCTCACCATTCATATGTTCCAGAAATCTCCTTTTCATTTCATACATCATAAGGTTTTTCTATAATATTTAATGAAAATAGGCTTGGGATCCCCAGTAAATTAGGGGCTCCACTTGGGAGATGGAAATAACGAAGTTACTTTCACGATACGAAAACGCAACAATGGTTTTAGGGAAAATGCTTAAATTTCTAATCGACTATTTTAGGTCAGTTAGATTATTATTATTATTTTATTAATTTTTTGCTATTCTAGTACACCTATGGGCTTTTTAGTTGGTGAGGACTGATTGAACGACACAAATTTCGGACCTTGGTGTATATATATATATATAAGAATACCAACTTATTAGTTTATCCGCCCCTAACCTGATTTTAATTTTTTTTTGGAAGAAAATGAGACAGATAGCTGACTAGCTTTGTTCCTTAAAAAATTGTCCTATTATTGGTCACTAAAAAATGGGAATGTTAGCTCTATCGCTGATATAAAATTGCATTACAATGTCGGAGTATTACTTCGATAAGCTCGCTAAGAATATTAATCTTTATCTATTATTACAGCTGCAGGCCCTAATATGACGGATTCGATACTTCGGGTTAGCTTAAGAAAACTACATATTCTTTAAAATACAAGAGTACAGGAGAAACATCCGTATATTTGAATAAATAAGTGAATATTTTATATATATTATATCTATGTACTGCATAATCGCGCAAAGACAAGTTATGTTGAAAAAAAAAAGAAGTCAAAACCTATTTATTAATAAGAATTTGCCGATCAACAGCGGTTGAGCACATTTGAAATTATTAGAGAGTTGTGCTTGAACCCATAATGTCCTGAACCAAACTACACATTCACCATCTGCAGCCAATTGTGGGAAGGTAGATAGATGCCCGGTAATAAAGAACAAACAAACTTCAATAATTCGGAATGCTAATAGCAAAGAAATGGTGTATAGGATATAAAAAGTAAAATAAATGAAAAAATAATAAAAGTAACTCGGAGTAAATAAGTAAAAAGAATTATGTTCCACAACCATAAATAATCAAAAGCAGCACACCCTCCTTCCTTGAATGCGAAGTTAAAAGGAGGGCGTCAAAAAAGAAAAGGGAACTATGTTAGTTAGAACAGGAAGAAAATTAATTCAAGCACTATAAATTTAAGGAAAGTTTAGCTATAATGAGCAGACTGAAGTAACCTTCAGTCACCTAGAAGTTGGTCTTTCCTGTCCAATATTACTTGCTACAGAAAGTGAAATAAATACGTTTAAGATAAAGACAAGAAGAGAACGAGACCAAACCTGTTTTTAAGGCTCCAGAACTGAATGAAAACGGTACAATAGATTTGGAGAGAAGGTCACGTAATAACATGTCCAAAACGTCCTTGAACGTGACCAATACCATTAAAGGTGACAGAAGGTCAACAAGTTCAAGAGTATCGGAACCTTATTTATATTTATTGAAAAATAATCAGTATAGAGTGATTATAGTGGGAAAGTCATACCCATTAAATTGGAGTTTTTCAGTTACCACTTTGATGTGGAATAAAATATAGTCAGATTTATTACAAACAAACAAATCTTTTCAACTGTGAAATAATGACACATTTGATTAAGATATAATTAGGTATTAAATATTATGCGTTTAACAGAAGGAAGATCATATATATGACGGACTTACATCGGTTTTGATACCGTGGTGGGCAGAGCATAGATAGCCCAATGTGTAGCTTTGTGCTTAAAATACAAACATATACATGGAATTTGAAGTCAATTTTTGTCATAAATGTTTTAGTTCAAATTTTCATAAGTAAATGAGATATCTAGATCAAGGAAATGACCTAAAGTTGTCGCTCCGTTAGTCATTTCAAGTTCCTGGATTGTTAAAGATCACCCATGTAAATGAGATATATAGATCAAGGAAATGACTAGAAGTTGTCGCTCCGTTAGTCATTTCAAGTTCCTGGATTGTTAATGATCACCCATGTAAATGAGATATATAGATCAAGGAAATGACTAGAAGTTGTCGCTCCGTTAGTCATTTCAAGTTCCTGGATTGTTAATGATCACCCATGTAAATGAGATATATAGATCAAGGAAATGACTAGAACTTGTCGCTCCGTTAGTCATTTCAAGTTCCTGGATTTTTAAAGATCACCCATGTAAATTAGATATATAGATCAAGGAAATGACTAGAACTTGTCGCTCCGTTAGTCATTTCAAGTTCCTGTAGAAAGTTCTTGATCCGATTTTGTTGATTTAGTTACATTCATTGCGTAGTTAGAATTCACCGGAATTCCTGTTTGTTGTTTATAAATATTAAATATACCTCACAGTTCGGTGGGGGAGGGGGGGTACGTTTACTTAGTATCGATATCTAGAAATACTTGATCTTAGGTTAAACTCTTATTGATTCTGATGAATGAACTGAAACTATTATCAGTAGAGTTTTTACACAACATTATCAGTAGAGTTTTTACACAACATTATCAGTAGAGTTTTTACACGACATTATCAGTAGAGTTTTTACACGACATTATCGTAGAGTTTTTACACAACATTATCGTAGAGTTTTTACACAACATTATCAATAGAGTTTTTACACAACATTATCGTAGAGTTTTTACACAACATTATCGTTATGTCCTGATAATTTACAATAATTGTATATACATTACAAAAAAAATTAACATTATAACGATAACAGGGTAAATAATATTTGACAATGACCTCTTTCATTATGCTAGAGGCCTGGCTTTAAACAAATCTGATATTTCACCTTTTCTGATTTTGTTTGAGTTTAACAAAGTTCTCTTCCTCACATGTCAACTTATTGGCAACTTGTGATTTCTGTAAGTTAAACATGAATTACACGCGTGTACTTGAAGCCTTATATGCACGTTTGTTTTACATTTGTTTCAAATTATTCCATCTTTTTTTTTCTAGAATCGTTTGGCATGGCTCTTCTTCTTCTTCTTTTTTTTTGTTCAATCGTGTTTTCTTTTCATTAAAAACTTAATTGAATTACAAATGTAGTATGATTTTTGTGACAGTGTTAGGGTTATGCAGAATTACAATTTATTGATCGTCATTGTTGGAATGAAAATCCAGGAGGCGATTCTTAGTACGTCATACACTTGACAAGAGCTTCTATTCATTTCTGGAAATTGTTGTTTCAGACCTTTTCTAGGTCACGATCGAGGCAGAATCTGCTCTTGACACCAGTCCACGGTCGTTACCACATTGTTCGCCACTGGTTTAGTAACTCTTTTTATGTCTCACTCCAGCAACAGTGCGGAGTTTATCCTTTCTCTTAAGATGTCCTATTTTTGGCACCACAATGTTTTCTCTACATATATTATAAATGCACCCTATTTTTGGAAGTATTTCTGTTTGAAGGCTTTAAGATAGAGTAGTATATCGGTATGTTAAATATAGTTTCATCGTGGCCTAGATGCAGATGTATGATTACTTTCGATGGAATTAGGGTTACTACTATAACTGCTTCCATTCATGATGTCATCTGGAACGATCTGAACTTCACTGCAGTTCTGTAGTTTCCCTCAACAGTTGCGAGAAACAATTTATAATAATTGCTCAGCAAATTACTTTTCTACACTTGAATAAGTGGAGCAAAACGTTTAATGAGCATTTGATTATCATTTTAATGATTTACTATTTTAGACAACTAAGTGTAGTGCGTGTGTCTAGTAATACTCGTTAATC